AACGAGTTTCCAACACGTGACCCCGAAGAGAGCTTGTCGGGACATGTACGGACAATCCTTCATTCTGCAGTTCGTCACGCAGCGCTGCAGTACCACCGCCATCCCCACAACAGACTGTAGTTATTTCATGTTAGTTTCGTCACATTCACACATTGTGTGCACCTGTACCCTGCACCGTTAACTAGATGTAGCCTACCTAGAGTAGTGTCACTTCGTGTCAAGGTATTATTCTCAAATCCCGAGCTATCTGGCTGCGGCTAGATTATTTTAAAATTGCTCAGACAGCTGTCGCCTTAGTGATTTTACTATCACATCTACCGAAGCGAGTCCGAGAACAAATCTAGTCCTCTTTTATGCCACATTCTTGACGTTTTTAACCAACCGTTTTCTGTGAGCAATGGATTGTATTAGTGGCATCTTGACCTTGTTTATTTTAACTAGTTGTCTATCTTTTATTAATGCCATGACTAGTTTCTAGCCTACCAGATTTAACAATTACGTAGTACAAAACTTGTCTTTTATTGAGTTTTAAACGTTTGTATCAAGTTGGGTAGTAGGCCCGAGTGCCTCAGTCATCCTCGTTAGCGTCAGAGTTTCCTCGGCGTAAATGCCGCTCACAGCCTCGTTTGTATTGTATATATTTGTGAAGTTACATCTCAGGGCGGAGAACGAACCAACTAGTCTTGTCCACGACTTTATTGTTACTGTTCATTCACTGAGCACCCTATTTCACATATAGTTGTTCCACCCTTCCACTACCTTGTTGCTCGTTCTGCCTAGGAGCTAAATGGCACTAGGCCTGACATCTTGGGTGTAACGCTGACACACCGACGCATGAATAAAGATGTCACCGCCAAGTACAACTCTGATCCTTTATTGAGTGAGACAATTTTATATGGTGCACCCAAAAACTTTTTTGTGCACCTAATTTTTTTAGGTTGAGTGCACCAGTGCACCTATCCCAAAAATGAATTTCGAGCCCTGATTACGAGTATGCGAATGAGGTCCTGATGTTTACTGGGTGAGTTCAACTGTACATCACTGGATCCAATGTGAGGATGAAAACATATAATTACCTCTGCTGTTACTCTCAGGAAAGGACGACACAGGTTTGTTGGGTGATCTGGTATATTCTGGATAGTTGATGAAGGGTCGTTGTAGGGGGATACTCCTGGTATGATG